GAGTGTTACTACCGCCGGCCAGATAACCAGGATATCTGCTTAGGGTACCTCTGCTACCAGACAACTGCCTAAACCTACGGCCTATTCCACAGGATTGTAAAAGTAGGGATGTTTCTAAAATATGCATTTACTTCAATATCAAAACAGCTACGGTAAAAATAAAAAGACGTGCATCATCCCGGACATAATGCCACACCACATGCGAAATTACACAGAAATGCGACGTACGGAAGAATGCGTTTTGGCTGCGAACATCTTCCAAAAAACTTGGCATCTCTTAAGCATGGGCAAAAACATCTGGAACCACTTATCAAAACCACCCCGTATCTGCATGAAGTTCCACCCCCCCCACTGCTATTCCAAACAACGCGTTTTTCAGGACCATTCCAATTTGCCTAGTAATTGTAGGGGTGCGTCTGCAATATTACATTGACCGCGAAAGCAGCAACGGCAAAAATACACATTCGTGCATCAACACGGGCATGCCCGCAGACGGCGTATAAAATTGCGTGCCGATTACACAAAGAGAACCCAGTGTTTTGACTGCGAACATGAAAAATCAGCCGATCACAACACTCCGTCCGGAGGTCCTGACCTCCTTCACGGAGTAATAAATATTATATGATTTGTTATGGATTTTATTCTCATAACAGGAATTTGGTATCACATCTTGTTTTGAAAACCAAGATGGTTATGGGCTTATGACCTCCTTGTGCCAACTAATGAAAAAGAGGAAAAATAATAAATAACATCATATGTAAACATACCTAAATATACATAAGCACACACACACAAACATGTAAAACCGGTATTACTAGGGCTGGGCAGAGCTAGGTAATCAGCCCATTATCAAATTATCTTGCAAATTGCTACCCTATTATATTTTTCCTGGAAAAACCCTAATAGGCAATGTACCGTCACACATCACTATAAATTATATAGTACAATAACAAAAGGCTCTGGACAAGGGACAGTTTCCAGAAGGATGATGTCTTCATTTCTGACCTGTATTAAATTTTGCAACAGTTCAAAGCATCGTATATGTACTAATGTAGACTTTTACAAATGTAAATAGTCTACG